AGGAGAGGGGCAGAGAGAGAGGGAGACACAGAATCTGAAGCAGGCTCCAGGCTCTGAGCCGTCAGCACAGAGCTCAACATGGGGCTCGAACTCACAAACTGTGAGATCATGACCGGAACTGAAATCAAGAGTCGGACACTCAATTGACAGAGCCACCCGAGTGCCCCCAATTTTTTTTTCTTGTTTTTTTTTTAAATACATTTTTCCCCTCTGCTGGACTTAAAGTCCTTTTGTATTTTTTTATATGGTTATAATTAAATTTTAACATACATATAAAATTAAAAGCTAAAACTAATCCATATCTTTACTCTTTCCTAACCAATACAAAATTCTGTAATACTTTAACTTCAACTATCCGTCTCCTGTATTTTACACCACTCAAGGCAGATACATTAAATTTAGCTTCTTTTTTTGCCTCATGAAGTATGCAGTTTAAAATAATTATTATTTTAACAGTCAGGGTTTGTCCAGATATCAAGATTTCCCATGTTTATGAATTTATTTGCTCATCATTCCATCTTGTATCTCTGATACAGAGAGAGGAACTCTGTTGGTAAACTCAATTTTATTCATACAAAAATATGTTCATCTCCCACTTGGTGTTGAAAGATTAGCTGTCGTCTCCGGTTATTTAGAAGATGTGTCACTATCTTCTGGCTCCTGTTTTTGACAAGCCTGTTGTTAGTCTAAATATTATTCCTTTTCAGGTAGTTTCTCTTTTCTCTCCAGATGCCTTTCAGACATTCTGCCCTTTTTCTTTGGTGTTCTCTTGTTTCACTATAATAACCTAATTACAGATTTCTTTGTGCTCCCAGAACTAAGAGCTCTATCTTTCACCAGCTTTGAAAACTACTTAACGTTTAGCGCATCAAATATTTTTTTCTCAGTTATCTATTCCTTTTTCTCTCCTTTCTTTCTCTGTATTTAAATTAGATTTATCATAGATACTCTCCTCCAATTATCTATATCTCTTCATTTTCATATTTTCTACCTCTGTGACTTTATCAGTGACGTTTTGGATAACTTCCTTTGCTTTCTATTAGTGCACTAATTATCTCTTTTTCTTTTTCAAATCTGCTTTTTAATGTGTACTTTCCAATGAATAAATCTTTCATTTCTAGAAATTGTATTTAGTTCTTTAATAAATTTGCTAATAATTTTTATGGTAGTTTGTTCTATTTTAGTGCTTTAAAATTATTACAATATTTCTTTAAAAAAATTTTTTTAAGTTTATTTTGAGACAGAGAGAGAGCATGAGCAGGGGAGGGGCAGAGACAGAGGGAAAGAGAGAATCCCAAGCAGACTCTGCACCACCAGCCCAGAGCCCAATGCAGGGCTTGAACCCATGAATCATGAGATCATGACCTGAGCTGAAACCAACTGTCAGACTCTTAACTGACTGAACCACCCAGGAACCCCGAATTATTACAATATTTCAAAAATGTTTCTTTTATATTCTGAGCCCAATAATTATATTATCTAAAGTATTTTGGAGCTAAATTCTTCTTTTCTTTTTTTATTCTGGTTTTCATTCATGGTGCTTGTTTTCTTGTTTGATGTGTCACATTGGTTTGTGAGCTCATTTGTGGGAATTCTTCACAGTATGGTTTAGGGGTGTGCCTTTCCAGAGAGGTACCCTTAGGTAGTAACTATTTATGTTAATTTCTTATCTTAGAACACTCAGAATTTGTCCATGGTTACAAATTCATAGGAGAGACACTTTTCTTCCACATAGAGCTTAGGCCAATACAAGCTCTTTGTTATTGCCCTTGCTGGAAAGTAGATATTTTTCTAGTCCATCATTTCACTAAGGGAATAGCCTTTTGAGGGTGCTTCCTTTACTTGGGAAGTATCAATTTCAACCCCCCCACATAGAATGCATGCAAGGTCTTGTTCTTATATGAGTATTAAAGCTGAACTTCTTGACTTGCAAATTCCTGGTTGATATGAAATCTATCAGATATATATTTCTCGTTACAATAAATAATTTGTGAGAAGAGATTTTTGAGACTATGCATATGTTGCTTTTCTCATTAAATTTTTACCCACTTGTTTTAACATTCATTGATGATTCTTGCCTCAATCAGTTACTACTATAGTGTTTATAAAAATGGTAATTTTCTGCACTCCATTGTTTACATGTATTAGCTGGCTTTCTACTGTAACGGCTATCTTTCCCTTTGCCCACATATATTTGTCTATTTGTATCAAAATGGACTCATGGATTCTTATTTTATGGGATGGATTAAAATCCATTACTATCATTATTTATTTTGATGCTCAAATTCTTCCAGATTTGTTCAGTGGGAGCTATTTCAAGCTGTGCTCTATGCCTATCATTCTTTAAGCTTTTCTTACTTTATGGCACCAACCTTACATTGCAGAGTCTTCTTGTATTTTTTCTGTCCTGCTCTGAAATCAATCAGTAATTCAAGAAATTCTGGTTTCTTTTCATAGAATGGTATTTAGATACCAAGATGTGGGCACTAGATGTGCTCATTGCTTCTAG